ATTTCTTTGATTGCGCAATTCCTTATAAAACTTTGATATAACTCTATAATTCCTAACCAGTATTCAATTATGTTACACGATCTCATTGAATGCAAACTGAATTCCATGTTTGAAATTTATGTATATATTATTTCTGTTTAGTATAAAAAGAAAGTAATATTATATAAAATATTCTTATTTTTATCAGACAATTATCAAATTTACAATATATTTGAATTTGCTTCGTCGCTAAATTTTTGATCCCTCCTAAATGTTCAAATAATATGTTCTAAAAAATTTATAATTCATTCCGTACAGCGAAAAATGTACATAATTGAATATAATATATCTACTGTACTTTTAATTGCTTTTTTAATAACTTGTTATGCAAATGTAGGATATTAGGTCCAAATTCAAATCCTGTAGATAACGAGAGCAATCTAGATAATGATACGAGTACAAATGAGGATATATAACTCCAAAGACAGACATTTTTATCTCAGATGTCGTCTTTGAATACGTTACACAAAATTGACAAGTAGAAATGAGGCAAGATGCAAGATTATTGTAATGCAAGATTTAATATACGTATTAGATCCTTAGCTATTTTACATAAGCACTTCGTGAAGGCACATCCAGACATATTATCAGAAGAAGAGAAAAAAGAAGATAAATTTTATTGGACTTGGGATTATTTTATTGCAAAAAGCGATACAGAGACAACATGTATACTATGTAATGCAACAATTGGGTCTAAACTTACAAGTCGTTTAATACTACACTTAAAACAATATCTTATGTAAGTATTAGTAAATTAAATTAAGTATATTAAAGACATTAATTAACGTTCTGCAAGAATATAATATTAGGTGTTGGAATTAATTCGTAGCGTTTTACAAGTGATGGGAAGTACTTTCATTAATGTATTTTTTAATGCTCATGTGAAATAAATAACATTCTTTCATTAAAAACGCTACGAATTAATTCCAACACCTAATATAATAATTAAATAATCAGTATCAGATAAAAAATGTGTTACGCAAATACCGTTGGTATTTACTCAACAAAAAAATTGTTAAATAAATTTGTGTAATACGTGTCGATAAATTTAATTTATAAATGCATCTATTCATATACTTATGTGTATATACATATTTATGTTGTATACAAGGTGTTACTGAAATAACGCTCTCTATGCGTACAGTACTATTCCTTTTATATGTATAAAAAAACTGAGTCAAAGTGTCCTCTAATATTTTGCAATTTTCGTAATAGTTGACGAGATATTAGTTTCTAAAGATTACTAAAACAGATAAAATCGATGAATAAAACATTTTAAGATATCTTTTAGTATTCTTTGTGAAATATTTTGGAGATGTTTCTTGAAAAACTCTTCAAAAAATATTTTAAAGTTGTCTTGTATACGTTAATTTTAAACATTTTGCTCATTAGATAACTAAAAAAAGTTTTACAAAAATTGTAAAATGGTAAAAGATTTTTCCATTCAGTTTTAAATTAGTAATAATACCATATGAATAATGGGCGTTTTTATTTTCAAAAACACTCTGTATGTATATCTTTATTAAAATTTTAGTTTTATTATATTATGCACATATTTGTG